CAGCACTTGGGAGGCAGAGGCAGGCGGATCTCTGTGAGTTCGAGGCCAGCCTGGGCTACCGAGTGAGTTCCAGGAAAGGCGCAAAGCTATATAGAAAAACCCTGTCTCGAAAAACCAAAAAAAAAAAAAGAATTATAAGATGACTTCTTAGTACCTTCTTATTTACATGTCTCAAAAAACTGTCTAATTCTTGTCGTCTCCTCTTTTTAATCTTCTTATGTGAACAAACTTTTTCTATAATTTTCTTCTGTAGAGGATCTGCCACACACTCAACCCATTTTTTATACAACATCTCTTTTCTTCTTGCATTTAAGAAGTCATGATGATATAAATACTTATCTAGTTCCTAGTAAATGGAACAGAAAGACAAAAAATATTATCCTGAAGGTTTTATGTCTTAAAATCTTGTAAAACTTAAAGTTCATAAGCTTAAATTATTCTAAAAAATAACCTGCCACTGGGGGCTGGAGAGACGGCTCAGTGGTTAAGAGCACTGGCTCCTCTTCTAGAAGTCCTGAGTTCAATTCCCAGCAACCACACAGCATGCAGACAGAGCACTCATGACAAAAGAAAAGAAAAGAATAACCCATCATTCAATCATTTAATCCTTTATTTGGCTTCCACCATTTGGCACACACTGCTGAAAACAAAGGCACATGGACACTGGAGGCAACATGCCCAACCTTCCTGACAATCAAATAAATACACCGGGCCAGTGAGATGACTCAGCAGGAGAGAAGCTTGTCACTCAAGCCTGGCAACCTGAGTGTGACCCCCAGAACCCACAGAAAGGTGAAAAGCCGATTCCACAAAGTTGTCCTCTGATGTCCACATGTGTACCATGGCACGTATGTCCACACACATATCACACACACACACATATATACAATAATAATAAATAAAAATTGTATTTAAGACCAGCAGTGGTAGTACATGCCTTTAGTCCCAGCATTCAGGAAGCAGAGGCAGGTGGATCTCTGTGAGTTCGAGGCCAGCCTAGTCTACAGACCTAGTTCCAGGATAGCCACGACTACACAGAGAAACCCTGTCTCAAAAAAAAAAAAAAAGTTTTACTTAAGGAAAATAAATCAAATATACCACACAGTGGGAGGAGAGACAATATAGCAACATTGTATATGTTAAAAGTGAACTCATACTAGAAGTTATTTTATGTGTGTGCATGTGTGGTGTGCATGTATGTGTGTGGGCAGGTATACTCACCTGTACAGTGTTGACGGAAGTCCCTCAAAGCACAGGAAACTGGCAGTCATTAAAACACTCTCAGTGATGTGTGCCACTTAATCCCAATGGCTAATGAGTGTTTCTAATTCTATTTCCAGTATTATCTAAAACTTTGAGTCTTACTCACAGTTGTTAAGTAAATACTACATTGAAAATGTAAAAAAATTATTTAAGAGGCATTTTGTAGTCAATTCTTACCTTCATTACATAATTTTCTCTATATAATATTGACTGAACAGCTGCATCAGTATCTTCTTTAGCTAAAGCCTAAAAGAACAGAATTATTCCAAAAATCAAATCTTGAAAAATCATTAGCATTATCTGTGCTTATTCTATTTTTATGTGAAAGGCATATCCCTGAAGCATTCTCTGTAAATCCTATTTTTCTGTATCACTAAGCACTTTTTCAAAAACTATTTTGATCTTTCTGTTCTTGGTTACAGCAGGAAATAATTAATCTCACAGGCATTTTGAGTCCCAGGACAGTCAAATGACTTGCCCAGAGTCTTGTCGTAGTCAGAATCATCTTTTCCCACATCTGGTAAAATGTTTTTACCTTTCTGGGTTAAGACAGACATGCACAGGCCTACATTTGACAGACTAACCTCTCTGTAAGTCTTATGTAAGATTATGCCTGTCCAGCACCACCTTAGGCAAACCCATACCTAGAAAAAAGCCACCAAAGGAAAACAACACACGGTCTAAGAAAGGGCGGCATTCCATTTCCTGTTCCTATTCTCACTCTTTTATAATGAATTCACCTATTGATTTGTCTTTGAAAATTGCTTTTTAAAAACTAAAATGTAGAGCCGGGCATGGTGGCGCACATCTTTAATCCTAGCACTCAGGAGACAGAGGCAGGAGGATCTCTGTGAATTTGAGACCAGCCTTTGTAGAAAGTTCCAGGACAGCCAGGGCTGTTATACAGAGAAACTTTGTCTCAAAGAAACAGAAAGAGAGAGAGAGAGAGAGAGAGAGAGAGAGAGAGAGAGAGAGAGAGAGAGAGAAAAGGAAGGAAGGAAGGAAGGAAGGAAGGAAGGAAGGAAGGAAGGAAGGAAGGAATTAAAATTAAAAAAAACTAAAATATAAAGACTGTGGATAAAATGAATCATGGATTATATTTTTAATCCACAAACTTACAAATATATATGAAATAAAAAAGTATAATCAATAATCAAATAGATGGCTGGATCTTTATAAAATATAAGAGGCATCTGCTCTTAAAGTCTTCCTACACTGTTCTAAGACATGATCTTAGAATGTATAGCCCAGGTTGGCCAGGATTCATTATATAGCCCCGGCTGACCTCAATTAGTGCCCATCCATTCATTGTCTCAGCCTCCCAAGCGCTGGGATTACAGGCCTGTGCCACAAACCCAGCCCGTTGTGTGTTCCTTTAATTAATTTTCCATGACAATCGACCAGTTGCTTGATAGACTGAAACATTTTTTCTCAAAGGCAGTAGGGACATAAATACAATTGAAATAAATACATTTATCATTAATGAAGACCTTACAACTACCAAATAAGTTTACGTGTTTTTGTGTGGGTTTGGTGAGCTTTTTGTTGTTTGTTTTTTGTGGGTTTTGGGTGGGGGTGTTGTTTGTTTTTGAGACAGAGCTTTACTATATAGTCTTGGCTGTCCTAAAGCTCACTATGTAGACCAGACTGTCCTCAAATTCAGAGATATGCTTGCCTCAGACTCCTGAGTACTGGGATTAAAGTCTGAGCCACCACGCCCAACTGAACCACAATTCAAACTCAAATGTGTGTCTACTAGTTTGGGGGGAACAGGGTCTGGCTATGTATTCCAGCCTGGCCCAAAACTTGCCCAGGAGTCTTAGACTTGTGGTCGATCCTCCTGCCTCAACCTCCCAAATGCAAGGATTGCATGTGTGAACCAATACCCTTGGTTTCAAATATCATTTTCTTTCCTCCTTCTGCACAGAGGGTTGCTGATTCTGACAAGACTGCTGTCCTTAACTAAGATGAGTAATGGATTAATGTTCTAGCTCCATATTAAAATACAAACAAAACAACAACAACAAAACAAAACAAAAAAACAGCAATCTGAAGACACTGGAAAGTGGCCAAACTGCCCACACAGCAGCCCTATCCCTTATGACCAACTAGTTTCTTTCTTTCTTTTTTTTTTTTTTT